GGGTGGTGGAAAATGGACTTACATGTCTTGTTCGTTTTATCTATTCATTTAGTTATATTAGTAAGGTGTCTGCTCTAGCGTATATAGTAAGAAAGGTTTTTGTGAAAAAAAATTTCCTGCATTACTGATCGGTCTTTGATTACTGTTATTCCGCGTTTGGCTCTTGAGATGAGAAGTGTTGTGCTTGTTGTTCATTACAAAGAATGAATTTTTCTCAGATTTCGTGGTAACGATTATGAAGGAATTGCACTTACGACTTAGATATTATTTAATACCACAGAGACCTGTTACTGGGTTAATCAGGGGTATCTCTTCCATCATAGCTGAAGAATAGCCTCTAATAAGGCAGGCTACTTTCGTTGCTACTTCGTTATAGAAATTATTAATTCAGCTTTCTTTGGTAGTCAGATATAAAACTAAAGGAATTCCGGAAGCAATTATACAGCAACGTAAGAAAAGCTTACAAAAATAAGCATAGAATGTAATAATCAACAGAGGGTTGTGGAATTTCTAACTGCTTTAGAAAAACCTGATTAAGATGCTTTTCTTCTGTTCCAATATAATTTAAAACGTTTTGTGTTTATGTTTGCTAGTTTTTTGCAACATTTTTGAGGTAACGTCAAAAGCTTTTCTTTTGAATATACATTACTATATTTAAGATTGTAAGTGATCAGAATATATATGTGTTTGAAAGAAATGAACAACGTCTGTTTTGCTATTCAATAGCGTAAAAGTTAATAGCGTAATTTTTTTTTAAAAGTTCAAAAATATTTGATAAATAGTAAACCGTGAAATTAAAAAAAAACAGATAAAATAATTAGTAGTTTTTGTATCTTCTTTTTTCTGTTTTTCAAAAAATAAGTTTTTGTTAAGAAAAAGAATAAGCTAGATAAGTAGAAATGATTTTTTTTAAAAACTGATTCTCGAATATCAAACGGCAATAATACCATTAAGCAAAAAATTAAAGCGGTACAAGTGACAACTTTTTTGTATGAAATAACTTGGCAATTTTTCTGCATTTCTGATCGTTCCACTTTTCTGTGTTTCTTTTGAACTATTGCCTTGACTTTCAAATAACTTTTAGGCCGAAAACCAGCTTTCGTACTTTTATTACATATTTTTCGTCTACAGAACTTGAAAAAACGAAGCTAATTAAGAAGCGAACATGAACGACGTCTGTCAGGCTAATAGGTAACGAATGAAAGCTGTGTATCAAAAGGTAAACTTGAGGGTTTCGTGGTGAAAAGAAATCTTTACCAACACAAATATTTCAGAGTAAAAATAATAATTAAAAGAAACTTTGCGAGACAGGGGATCCTGTAAACAATAAAATCAGTAAATCTTCAATATCAAAAAGTTCTTGTTTGCACCACTTTAATTTCTCATTCGCTTTTATTGTTGCTGTCGTAATCATTCAAAAATTTTTTACAAAAATTTTATTTTTTGTCATTAAATTATTTTTTATTTATTTTTTTATTTATCTTATTTTTCGACAAAAATCTGTATGTGGAATACAATAATATCATTTTACAGTTTGACTAATAATTACTGGCAAAAGAAAGCGCTAACTGTATCATTACCAACTGTTGTACAGTTACATAAGCTACAATTCATAGATTTATTAGAACTTTTAAAAATAAATTATCATAAATAAAAAATCTTCTGCAGTTGTTCGAAGCCAACCTGCAACGAAGCCAATTTTGCTAACAATTTATCATTTTGTTTATTACATGTGTCCTGAAAAATACAAAATGACACATTTTGAAAAGATCTTAAACTTGTTGAACGTAAATAACTCTTCGTAAAAATTTTAGAAAGAAAAAGATGAACGAATGCTAATTAAGACAGCTTTATTTAGAAATTAATTAACAAGAAATGAAATAATTAAACTTTAAAATTTTTTTATAATTAAAACTACATTGTTGGATTTCAAGTACTACTCATAAGCATTAACACAGTAGCCTTATCTAACGATCAAACAAAAAAATTTAAGCTTATGAAATTGCTGTTCAAAAACCCGATGCTACCAACACTACAGATTTTAATTTTATGTTTCATTTCAAATTCGGCCGCTAATCATGCAAAGTACGTTAAAGTAATAAAAAAAAAGAAAAAACGAAAACACATGTATCATTTGTTAAAAGTTTAATACTCTTATAATAAAACAGAAACAAAAATGTGCTTCGGTGAGATGATCGACTTTTCATGTAGCTAATGCGCATTCAGATTCTGATTCATTTCTAGAATGAGTGAATTTTTTGTAAATAAATTTTAAAATATTGTTGAAGATAACAGTCAAAATAAAGACAAAAAAAAACAATGATGACGTTATCAGAAAACTCATGACTACGCTGATTTTGCAAGGTGACTGTAAAGAAATTTTTTGTCGTTGCAGTAGCGGTACTTTGAATCATTACTTCCTTCTTTTTTTTTTTTTTTTTTT